CTTTGTAATTCACTGATATCATCCCTTGAATATCCAGGAAATGTTTCTGCATGAGTGACAGTAGCTGATTCAATGAATAACACTGAGGAATGCGCAGTTTTAATATCCAAAGGAACAATAGATCCATGAATGCATTCACTAAAAACATCAACACTTTTCATGGGAAGTCTTGATAATGCGTCTGCGTTGCTATTCTGTTTTCCAGGTCTGTACTTTATCTCGAAATCAAAATCTGCTAGTTGTGAAGCCCATTTCTGTTCATAAGCACCAAGTTTAGCTGACGAAAGGTATTTCAACGGGTTGTTGTCTGTAAGTACCACAAACTTGTTTCCTAGTAAATAGTCTCTGAATTTCTCCGTCACACTCCACTTAAGTGCTAAAAGTTCAAGTTTCAGGCTACTCATGGTCTTTGCGGAACGTTCATTAGGTCGAAGAGTTCTACTGGCGTATGCAATAACCACAGTACGTCCATTCTGCACTTGAGAAATAACAGCTCCTAGTCCATGTGCACTTGAATCAGTTTCAACAATGAATGGTAATGTGAAGTCAGCATATCCAAGTAAAGGAGCACTAGATAACTGTGTTTTCAGCTGTTCAAACGAATCCTGACAACTTTTAGTCCACTTATCACCAAATTTTGTCTTTGGATGTTTTATATTAAGTTTGGCAATTTCAAGTAATGGTTCCGCAATCTGTGAGAAATGTCGGATAAAACGGCGATAATAGCCCGCAAATCCCAAGAATGATTTCACTTCTTTCACATTTTCAGGTGTTTTCCAATTAACTATGCGTTTGATCTTCTCACTATCAGTGCTGATGCCGTCTTTACTCACAATATGTCCCAGATATTGCACAGATGGTTGGAAAAATTTACACTTCCGCATCTTCAGTTTAAGGCCATGTTGACGTAGAATAGAAAACACTTTGTCAAGACGTTCAATATGTTCACTTAAAGACTTTGAATAAACAATGATGTCGTCTAGGAAAACTAACATGATGTTGAATACTTCTTCCCGGAAACAGTGCTGCATTAAACGCTGGAACGTAGCTGGCGCGTTGGTAAGTCCGAAGGGCATGCGCATAAATTCATAAAGTCCAAAGGGTGTTGTGAAAGCTGTTTTCTCTATATCCTCTTCTGCTACCGCTATTTGGTTGTAACCGGAAGTTAAATCCATTGTAGAGAACATAACAGAACCGTGTAAAACATCAAAAGTTTCTTCAACTCTGGGTAACGGAAATTTGTCTTTGATTGTTTTCTCGTTAAGCTTGCGATAATCCACACAAAGTCGTAGAGTATTGTCTTTCTTGCGAACAAGTACAATAGGCGAAGCAAAAGGGCTGGTACTCTCCCTAATCACACCGTTATCCAATAACTTTCTAATGTGCTGTTTCACTTCCTCAAACTGAGATGGTGGTATACGGCGGTACTGTTGAGAAACCGGTTTATCATCAGTGAGGCGAATGCGATGTTGAACAGTATCTGTACTTCCGATGTCGTCATCATTCTTGGAGAAAATGTCACTATATTTTTGGAAAAGTGAAGTTATTAACGCTTTTTCTTCTTTGCTACAGTCGAGATGGTATATGTCCTCAGGTAACGTGAATTTATCATCAAGGGGCGTAACTTCTGAGACGTCACAATTCTGAATAAATATTTCTTCAACACTGCCGACTCTATTAAATCCGATATTTGATCTGTTGGTATCAACTTCACATCTAGACACAGTTCCTATTCTTGTACGTGGTTTAACTGAAATATCCTCATCTCCGATATTGGCTACACGAACCCACAATTTCCCACTGTTAATGGTAGCACACGTATCTACAGTTCGGAAATTCCTGTGTAGATGTGATCCATTAATCAAAGGATTAACAATAACATCACTGTCAATATGCGGTCCAGTGCACTCTAAAACAATGGCAGTATTTGCTGGTATTCGAATAGGAATTGACCCGCTCACTCGTGCAAATCCACTAACAATCCTGTGATCGAACACGTTGCTTTCGGTAAAAACTTCCTGTAAATGTGCACTTGCTGGAATGTTACAAGTAGATAAAATATCCTTGCAAACACTGAGAATATTCATACCGATTAGACCTGGTAGAGCTTCTTTACGCTTTCTCGTTTCACTATCTACGGAGTCTTTGACTATAAGAAAACCACGTTGAGGAATAGTTTTTCCTAGGTACTGGATATCAAGTTCTATATATCCTACATATGGGATGGTTAGTCCATTCGCAGCTTTAAGTCGAATTAGATTGTCTTGTATGATGGTTGTTCCTAATGGCTGAATAAACTGTTTGTAAAAGCTTTCTGTCAGTGTCGAAACCATGGAACCTGTGTCGACTAAGCAGGGGATTTTCACATTTAACACAGTAATATCCATCACAGGACACTTCCCTATAAAGCGTTGCATAAACAATGAGTCCTGTTGACCGTCATCTATTGGCGGACTCGTGTCAATAGATGTTACTTGTTTTCCGAATCATTCACTTTTACACGACAAAATCTCTGTATATGGCCCAGCTTTCCACACTTGTAGCACTTCGGACGGTTGGTATAACGGCGTTCCGTAGACTGTTCACTGCCTTCGCGATCTTTCATCAGGCTGGTTAGTGAGTCGATCTGCTTTTGTTGTGCTTGGATGATTTTCAATAGCTGATCCGCTGTAGACGATTCCGGTGTTGGGACATTTAAATTTGGCTGATCGCTGCTCTTCTCGACCGGTTTACTGTCTGGAAGCTTTGACTGCGTGTTTGAATGGTGTTGCGTTGTTTCTTCTTCACTGAATAGAATAATTTCATCTCGAAGTGTGTAGAAATCAACGGGTCCGTATTTGCTTCTAACGAGTCGTTTCGCTTCCTTGCGTATGAATGGATCACGCAAGCCGTTAGCGAATCGTTCACACAAGGTGCGCTCTTTCTCTGGAAAAACACTGCTGTCTTTCTTAATCACTTTCTGAAATAGATCCAAAAGCACATAAGAATATTCACGAATTTTTTCACTTTCTTTCTGGTGTCGCTCAAAGAAACGTTGTTGTAACGTAATAACACTTTCCGGATTTCCGAATGCTGCCCGTAGACAATCCAACAGTGCATAGGGGTCATGACGAATATCTTCTCTGTATTTCACTTCGTCCTTGGCCTGGCCTTCCAAATGCGTGAATATGAGATCTACTTTCTGGGCATCGGTCCTTTCACGAGCTGCAAACGCTACTTCAAGATCGTCAATCCAGTCATCAATTGACAAATCATTTTCAGTTTTAGGTCGACCGGAAAATGTTTTAATCTTGCGACTTTCCGGAATGAATGTATGTTTTTCAACAACTTTTAGCTTGGAAAGTTTTTCTTCTAAAAGTTCTTGTTCCAATTCATGGATACGGTTTTGAAGATCTCTTTTATTCATTTTCAGAGTTCAGATTCTAAGTTCACGATTAACATTTACCGTTCCTATGAAAACAGTTCACAATACAAAACCCAGGTATATCGAACACTCTGTCGATGAGTAGAAATCACCATACACACGCATCAGTGGAATATAAGTTCCCTAATCAATGCCTTGGTGTTGTTTCTCGCAGCGCCATGATGTAACCGAGCAGTAAGGCAGATGTTAGGTTTTCATAATTTATTCAGGAAATAAAGGCATTGATCATAAGATGCGTATGATGGACACTGGATTTAAAATATAACTTCTTTCTGGAAAACGTATACTGCTCTGATATACAAGGTAAAGCGCGGTAAATTTATACTTATAATGAAAATGTATTATTGGATGAAAAAATAGGAAATAACCAATCAAATGATAGAGCCAATGAAATCATAGAATAAAACTTTACTCAGGCAACTCAATCCAGGTGCGCAATAGAACTTTTAGTTAATCCAATTTTAAGATTTTATTTCTCAAAACGATATGAAAAAATAAATAAAAACGAATAAATACATATAGAAATAGATTTCATTATATCACACGTGTATTAGTTTAAACTTATTCAGGCTTATTCAAATTAAGTCAGAAAAATGCGATTGAGCAAAACTGACAATGAACTGTTGGTTTTATTACTGTTTTTTTTTTGGTACTTAATCAACCCATATGGCAAGGATTACGTGTACATGACAACCAAAGTTTCTAAGTCTCCTGTAAATCAGATTTGACTTTGGGATTGTATTGTTTGTCATGGAATTGGATATTCAAGTAATATGCTGATAATTGGATGGTGATAGTTCGGTAAGACTTTAAAATGTTGTATCAAGTTATTAAATATTGTTCAACGACTTATTTCCATAGCAACAACACCACTCCCCTGGCAACAACACAAAGAAAGTTTGACGTATATTCATGTCACCTGTAAATCTTTATCTAAATCACGTCATGAAGAAACCAGAAGTCTCTATCGAGACTGTAGCTCTACTGGTTTTTACTTATCAAAAACCATTGCACTATTTTATGTATCTTTGTGTAGTCTACTTCACTGGATGAAAAATACAGTTTCCGCATGGCTGAAACTCTACTGAAACTCTGCGGAAACTTAAGGTTACTAATAGTTTCCGCAAAGTTTCAGTGCGGAAACTTCAAGTTTCATCAAGTTTCCGCAGTGCGGAAACCAAAGGTGTCCACGAATCCAAATAGTTTCCGCAACTGAAACTTGCTGAAACTTGAGGTATACGCAAGGTTTCAGTATGCGTATATGGTTGAAATACATATGGTGCACCATAGGTTTCCGCGACTGAAACTTGCTGAAACTTGAGGTTTACGCAAGGTTTCAGTATGCGTATACGGTTGGAATACATATGGTGTACCATAGGTTTCCGCAACTGAAACTTGCTGAAACTTGAGGTTTCCGCAAGGTTTCAGTATGCGTATACGGTTGAAATACATATGGTATACCATAGGTTTCCGCAACAGAAACTGTACTATAAATTATACAATTTAGCCCAGCTTTTCAACCAAAACTCATTTCCCCCCTGAATTTTCATATTGGAAAAAACAAAACACACTCACACTAGTTATCAAAGAATATTTAATGTTATTATCAACGTGTACATACATTGTCTTGGCCATTTATTTTCTCTTGCATCATAAATATTTTTACAACTAAGTCCGAGCTCTCATGTCACAACAGGAGGACAGAGAAAATGTCTGCATTTAATGATGTCTTATACATGAGAGATATAATCTTGCGAGAGGAACTTAGAACTGCAATCAATCAACTAAACCTGAATGATTCCGTATATGCAAGTCTAGTATCATCAAGGAAATGTCAAAGTACTTGGTATGATAAATGCACAAGTTCACATCATTAGTAGCCAATAAGCACCAAAGTGGATTTCTTTGTTAAATATTCAGTTTGTAGTCCATCATCAACCAACAGAAAAGTCCTTGAGTGGTCCACATTTTTGAAGACCCACTTGCACTTCAAGTTCAGGTTGGATTGACCTGCTCGTCAGTTACTTCAACCTATTGAAAATATATAAAAATATAGTTCAACAAAATCCCAATTTAAATAAAACAACATGTTATATCCTCTTGCATACTCGCTACACAACATCTAACAGCATCCATAGAAGGTCACGTCAAATATCAAATACAGAACAACTCAGACTCTAAACTTATTCATTCCAATAAATTAAATACAATAATTTTTGCATTTGAGTATTTGATTGGTTAATAGAATTTAACGTCTGGCGTGACACTCTATAGGATGCCATTAGATTTTAGCCAATATGTGCGCAGATCTAACATTTAAGGTCAGACGAGACGTTCCTCAAAATCTGTTTTGTATATTTTCGTAATGTATGAAAAATGTTCAAAATTTTAACAACATTCTGATTTCTAAACCAGTTTCTAAATGTTTTTAAAAAATCCAAACACTTAAACATTTCAAATTCGAATTTTTTTTTCTTCCCAAAAGGATTATATAAGAAAAACTAACCCTGGTATCTTGCAGAAATACCTGGTAAGGTACCTCAATTTTTTGTGTGTAAACATGTTTTAGTAGCAATACTTCAATGACAAATTCTTAGAAAAAATTATCTATTATTAAGGAACGGCTCGCCTGTCCTTAATTATCCCCTCACGCAACTAGTTGCGGAGGGGATATAGCATCGCGAATGCGCGTATGTATGTGTGTGTGTGTTAGTGTGTTCGCTACCTTGTGGGCAAGATTGACAGAGAACCATTGCATTAACCTTTCTCAGCGTTTACATACTTGTGTGGCAGTATAAAAGGACGAAGCCTATTAATTTTCAAGTCCGTTGATGAAAGATTTCTTCAGATATCGCGTTTTTACTGCCTCGAAACACTGACATTTTATGTACGGGTTGACAATAATCATTTGTGGGCAAGATTGACAGAGAACCTTTGCATTAACCACTCTCAGCGTTTACATACTTGTGTGGCAGTATAAAAGGAAGAAGCCTATTAATTTTTAAGTTCATTGATGAAATATTTCTTTAAATATCGCATTTACACTGTCTCGAAACCCTGACATTTTATGTACGAGTTGACAATAATCATTTCCGCTAGGGAACCAGTTTAAAAGCTGTGTCGAGTCTCTGGAAACCAGATTAAAATAATTTTGATGAACGTCGCGGTTTCATTACCAAATTCCAACAGTGTCTGGGAATTTGGGGTGCACATTAAATTGAGGGGGGGTGACTAAACCAACAACAAAGGTAAACCCCAATTTTCAATGCATAGAAATTGTCTTTATTTGCATAAAAGTGTGAGGCTAACACCACACCCTCACCTCCCGGTTTCGACGCCTCTATATATACCACAAGTTTAAATAAACTCTCGATGTACATTGTTATTTTTCATTATGAAAAAAAATGCATTTTGCTTTGAACTGTGAAATATACTATTTAGGTAGGTAAATGATTAAAATAACTGAAACTTGTACGTGTAGCATACGTGATATGTTTCTACTAGGTATAAGGGAAACTGCCCAATTACGTATGCATATTATGCCCCCACCCCTTTAACAGTTTAAACTTAAATGCTATGCAATTTGATTTTTGTTCAAAATAGACACCCCACCCTCTATAATTTTGTTAAAGAAATAAATAGAGCTGAAAAAAAACAATTTAATACCTTACCCAAAACTAGGTATCAATGTTATGCCCCCCCCCCCCCCCCCTCTAACCAAGACGCTTTGCAGTTTGCATTTTGTTAAAAAAAACATTGAATCAACAACAACACTCCACTAATTATTTTGTCAAAAGTAAGGGAGTTGATCCTAATATTGCGGGTTTGAATCCCACTGTGGAACGTGGAGAATGAGACCGTGTAAACCAAGGGCCATATCCCCATAAATGCTGGTACAAAAAGATCCCTCACTGCTCAATGGCCGTCAGTGCCTATTGTAGGAAAAAATGTGCAGCTCTTCACGGGCAAGCCTTCATATGAGCAAAATATTTATGAGAGGGACATTAACAAAATGACGTTGTTCTATCAATCTTATCATGTTTAACGTCCCTCTAGAGAATTTATCTCTCACGAGATATTACCATTACCAGAGATGTTCCTGCCGCGAGGGGATGCTCCGCTTAGTGGTGCCCTTGTTTTAATAAGATTGACAAGTTCCTAAAACTGTTCTAGCACAAGCCTTTGTTTTATTAATTTCAGATTTTCAGCATTTTTGATCAGAATGATTTAATTAAAAATAAAATCTAAAAATTTATCAACTGTAAAATCTCATTAGTTTATTAAAGTTGCCTCTATCAAAATCACTTGACAAGGGATAATGAAATAAACAAACTTGAATGTATTTAAATGTACTGAATATGTATGTATGGATTTGTTTCTGATAAGATTTTCAGAGTAAATTTAGGATTTTTTTCTTCATTTTACTTGTTCATCAAAATATTTTTTGTACCCCTAACCTAGACCCTTAGACCATGATTCATGATATTTGACTAACAACTGAGGCCCACAGACCTTATAGGTCACCTGAGTATCATGTAAAGCCTAGAAAAAAAATGTTTGTTCCCGACCGACCCTAATATATGGTGCCAACCCTAAATTTATTTTTAATGCTTTTGTCCCATGAAGTGCAAGATTTCACCCAGGGAATTATAGTCTCCAGCTTTGCAAGCTTTTCAACATGTTCAAGACAGAAAGAAGTTTGAGTTACCTGTCAAGTCACAGAAATGCTTGAAAACACCATTTCTTTTGTCATTAATGTTACTTCTATACACTTTTTGATTCAAGAAGCAAAAAAAAAATGTTTCAAATAAAAATAATTACCTACCTATCTACCTATATTTTTCAGCCTGAAAGGGGAAACAAATATATTTTTTTTTCTAGGCCTAACAACTTCCACTCAATCGAATTTTGTTCGTAATTTAAACAAAAAGCCATAAAATTCACAAATTTGAAAGACGCACCTATGTTTATCATAATTATACACTTAGTTAACATGCTTACTTTGGTTACTTAATACCCAAAGGTAGATCAGAGTAATAAAGATACGATGCAATTCCATTTTATAACCACCAGTTGTGTACCCCACCCCACAGGAACCACTAACCCTGGGGCCACACATTTCAAAATTTACTTAATGTTTTCATAGGTTTATTTCATCTTAAATGGTTTGATTAATTCTAAAGAGCTATAAGACCCACCCTAATACTAAAATCCCTGACCCTGGGGTCATGAATTTCATAATTATGGTAGAGGACTCCATGCCGATTACAACCATACCAACAGTTTGACTGCTTGATGTTCAGGAGGGGAAAAGAAGAAGGGGATTTTCAAAGATTGTATGAATTTTAGTGGTTTTGGCCCCACCCCTCAGGCCCGCGGGGGGAGGGGGGGATAAAATTTATAAATTTTGTTCCCCTTCACCAAAATTGGTTGAGCGGTCGCAAAGAAGCTGAAAATGTTGATAATACTTATCTTAAATAAATCATACAATTTTAGTAGTTAGCTCGCAAAATGAGACTTTCTAAGAAAATGTTAACATCTGTTTATTTCATGAAAACATAAATATATTGTATAAAACTTAAAAAGTAGAGGAAAGCAGCTTACATGTAACCCCCCCCCCAACAAACTGACTATGATCATGATAATAAATACTAAATAGAGAGCTTAACATTACACAGTGAGATTAACAAAACAATAGAAAAATAAAAACATCAACTTTATGCTTTAGTCCTTAATTTCCTAAAATAGAGCTACATAAATTATATAAAGTTCTTACTCACTGTTAAAACATACCTTTTAACAGAAGTATTCTTCATCCTCTCCTATTAGCCTTAATTTTCAGATGATTTGTTCAGCGGATATCTGAAATTAAAATAGATCAAGTTAGTACAGTAACGTACATTAATAACTGTTTTTGTTTTTAGCTTGAGCTAAGAAAAGTCCCAAAAACCACTTGCATGTCCATTTTCTTGCACCTGACATTCAGTTAAAATTCTAATAGACACATGACAAAGAAAAAAAATGATGGACAATTGTATCATTTTAAAATGGACACACTCTGGTCTAATGCTAAGTGGCAGTCCTATCACATTCACAATTTAAAAGTTCTTGAAAAGCAATTATATCTGAGAGTGAGAAAAATTAAATAAGTAACAATTTTTCATAAAAGCAAGACTACATCTAAATTATGTTTGTTTAAAATATGTAGGCCTTCTTTGATTCAAAATTATAATCCATTTAATACTTTATTTTATTTATTCCATTTTGCATCAAGGGCAGATAATTATTTATATAATAAGACAGAACTATGACTCTTTAGTGGCCATTGTTGAAAATTGATTTAATTAGTGATAGAAATATGGCAAATTTTCACTAGCCCTGACCCTTTCACCACTAGCCCTGACTAAACTTTAGAAAAAATATATAAAGTACAAAATACTTCTTTTTTTGCTGTGCAGACGATGAGAATCCATATTTAAATAAGGAAATTTTCCAGCACACATGTCACATCAAAACTAGGTCATATACATGTGGCTTGTCGTGTTTAGTCCTAATTTATTCAACTTGTATACAATATTAATATTGATACCATTAAAAATGTTCAAAGAGTTTGAGTATAGTAAAAAATTAATTTTATTATCTATTTACATGGTTTACCGATGTCGTAAACATGAATCTTTCGACAATGACAATCGTAACTACTCAGCCATTTTCGTGAATAATAAAATAGCTTATTGTTTCTCTCTAGGTAAATGGCCGAGTTGTTACAAATACCAATGAACTGTAGTTAAAAATAGCGCTATAGTCATGTTGTCTGGAACGTATTTAGTTTTATTTCTACTATGTGATTGGGAATGTTTTGATCTTATTTTTTCATCGACAATAAATGAATTGCTTAAAATATATAATAAGTTCATTAATTTTCCTACAGGACCAGTCGGTCTAGAACACAGAGATTTTACCAGACCGGGCCCAAATTTTACTAGACTCAGTTGGTCGGACGTGCCTTAATGTCAAACCCTGAGCTATAAACAGAGAGATTACAAAAATCTTATTTGTGTATCAGTCATTTTATCAAGTCAATAAAATTTAGAAGTCATACAGACGTAAAAGTATTATGTCAAATTTTCATAATGGGTCACACAGTGTGGCCCAGTGGTTAGAGCGACACACCTCAAGTCGGGAAGTAGGTGCTGATTCTTACATCACGGGTCTGAATCCAATGTAGTACATAGAGACCGCTCCCTCGGATCCGATGAGAGCAGAGACTGTGTTGGTGATGTATCCACATGAATAAAAAGTTCTCTAAATGGATATCATAATTTCTACGAGCAACAAACAAATACTAGTATATGACTATATAATATCAATGCATGCAACTTAAGAAATTGATAATGGCCAATTGCTCATTTCATCAAGCTCCAGTCTATCATAATGCAGAATTTATATACAGGTAAACAATAGCTGTTCTGTTGATATCAAGAAAATCATGTTTATGGTTTATATGATTTAAAGTGATTTCTGATATTTAGAAACTGCACGGTGCAGCAGCACATTTAATATTTGAAGCCCAAGGTACAAAAATAATGTAAGTATTTCTAATGAAGAATTAAACCATGCACACTAAATCAAGTTTTAGGTTGCTTAAATAGTCTTATTTATTTCATATAGATCAAAACATGCATATGTGTCAACATGAAATTAAAATTTAATTTAAAATAAATATCATTTTAAGTTTAATTCATCATAATTATGCCTTGTAAGAAAAGATGCTTATGTATGTTTGTATATAAATAGTTTATTCACTTTCGACATTTGCTTTAAAATCCTTATGTATGGTATAAAAATAAAATACTTCAACTTGAATAATGTGCGGCATTATGAAATTTATCAATTCACTTTCATAGCCCAAAAATCTGCAAGTTCTCAGGAATTTTACTTTCGTGACTACAACATGTATAAATTGGTATTTCACAGTAATACTACACGATGGCATTCTCCCATCATGATGCCCTCTTGCATGTCAGTGTCTAATATTTACGATTCTAGATTGCATGTATGTTAAAAATACATTGAACCCCTTCCTCAGCTGTGCAGCACAGTCTTCCATCAATAATAAAAACAATTCAGCAAAAAATAAATGTACGATTCAAGAAACAACTTTTGAGAATAACATTGAACACATCCAGCGGCTATAATGAACAATAAAGCTCACCTTTTCTGAAAAAAACATAAGCGTGGGGTCAAATCTTTCGATTTTCCAAATGAAAAAGTTAACACCGGATACAAGTACATAACGATATTATCCTCTTAAACCAACCTACATTTAAAATTCCGGAATACTACAACACGTTGTATTTTTTAAATTATGTAAATTTTACATGATCGGGACGATGCAGAAAATCTAATATTCATACGAAAAAACTGAAAGATAAATACAATGGTGCAAAATACATGGATGCGTTTAAACAGCAGTTAATTATATGAATAACAACCTAAGCTGAGAATGATTTACAAGGCGCTTTTTCTCAATAATTACAACTGTACAATCATGACAATGGTCATTTTGAATTTTTGGAACGCGCCATTTTAGGTCAACATTAATCTTACGATTTCAGACGATAAAAACAAAAATAAAGGTGCTCTGAACGGTAACAAATAACTACCTGTGTCTAATATGCCGTTTGGGGTGCCTTTCTGCAGTGTGGAATCAAAAGATCTTCTCATCTCTGTTGTTTTTCTTGAGCAATTTCTTGGTTTTCTTCGCCATTTTGTCCTTCTTTCTTCTCTGAAAATCTAACCAATGAGAGGGAAGCATTCTGCCGCGATACGCCACCTAGTGATTCTAATTCTTTACGGAAAATTAAGTTTAGTGGCATTTTTTTTTTTAACGTTTTAAATGCAAATGTCCTTGTATATATGGCAACAGAATGAACAGTTTTGAATGATAAAATAAAATTGATCATGGAATCGAAGGGGATAAAAAGAGATTTTTAGACCTTTATCATGTTTATTAAATGATTATGGTAATTAATACCCTATTGTTGAAACGGACTCCGACTGTCCCAGCTGTCCTAATGTTTTCAAATAGAATGATTTAAAGTCACATGTACACACGTACTTCGATTATTGTGTAAAAAAAAAAAAGAAAAGAAAAAAGAAAATGGTATACAAGTCAACAAAGTTATGCTGATGGCATATTAACCACATATGTGCAACTCAAAAGCAGAATTTGGGTGATAAGAATTATTCATCAATTGTTGAAAATTTTCTACTCAGAAAATATCAACATGAATGTACAAGTCTATCTGTTATCTAGGAATTTCCTGTCACAGCTTAGAAATTGAAGTGGGGGATATTTACCGATATTTCTCCTGAAGATCGATTATGTAGATGTAAAATTCATTTTGTTTTTATAACATTGTCATGTAAAAAACAATATGATCGTCAAACATGCCCCCCCCCCCCCCCCCCAAAAAAAAAAAAAAAAACATTTCAGTTTATTAATAGTAAATCTCCATACTTCTCAGCTTTAGATGATGAACCAAAAAAAATTGGTCACTCAATACAGAAGATACGGAAACTCTTATTTTTGTAGGCAAATTAATATAAAGGATATCATGTAATAGAAGTGGTCATAGTCATTTACACATGTCATATGTAAATTCTTCTTTATTCCTTTATAATACAGGATTATTAATTGCTTTTAATAATTATTTTGCTATTGATTGAATTATCTTTTCCTTATTAATGTAATAATCTCACACTTTTCTGTTTGGGACTCTAAATTAGAAATAAAACGTTGTTTTAATATAATGTACTTAGAAATAACCTATAGAAAAAAGTTATGAAATAAAATAGACTTAGTTTTCATTAGGTTGCGTTTCATTGACCTCTAAATATTTTCAATATTTGAAGTTTACAATGGTGGCAAACAAGGAATACCATTAATTGTCGATTTCTTTTTGTGATTGCCGATTTCTTTTGTGTGGAGAAATTGTAAAATAATATTGAAATTTTTGAAAAAGTCTATTGAACTAGCTATAGCAAATATTCTCCTTACCAATAGATTAATTTTATTATATTAGATTGATAGATAAATATTTAAGAGATTTGTCTATTTTCTTTTAATCACCAACACATAAAATAAAAATTTTTTATGCTAAATATGAAACATTCCATGAAATATTTTACATAACACATTATACATATGACATGTTTGATTTTAGGTGAAGTTTTATATACATGTAGTGTGATTTATTTTTAATTTTGAATGTTCAGAAACCTTGGTGTCATTAGAAAAGGCTAGTTGTGTATACCATGTACTGCGTGTATATATTACGCCTGGTCACAGTCCATTGTTCCTCTAAGGTAGAAAAACCTCTCAATCCACATAGAATATACAAAAAATACACCAACACGGTAGCAGGTGTCTTCGCGACACGTGTCTCCCCACCTGTGGCACGTGAGGACAGGTGCCCGCGAGTGGCGTTCAACGTAAAGAATTGAAAATTTGATCAACTTACAGACTACTTTAAATTTATTTAAAAAAAAACAACTAAGTTCTAAATCACATATTTAGCACATTATACATCTCAATACGAATATAATTGAACATATTACTAAAAACTATACCGCGTTTTCAGTGATATTGCATTAATTAACCTCACGAAAGCAAGATATATGAAATAAAAAAAAAAAAAAAACCCTACACATAATATACAATCTAATTAAAATTTTGAGATTTTCCATTCGCTCCCAGGATATTGTTTCACAAAAGCAGACTTTTTACATATAAGAGTTCCTCGTGTAAATAAACATTTGGGGAACAAATGGAAGATTTAATTTTAATCAGATTGACATAAAATGCTGCAAATCCTGGGAACAATGACATCAAATTTTCAGGACGTGTTATCTTGTAATATTTTTAATGCTGTAAAACCGCGGCTTACGAATAAAATGTTTTCACGAAGACGGAAATAAAATACATATATGTAGATATTAAATCAATGTTATTATAAAAATAACTAATACATGTAACTATTGAACTATATATATATATATATATATATATATATGAATAGTAAAAAAGGCTTCATAGTCAATTTGTATTGTTAA